TCAAAAAGATTCTTTCTTCTAAAGTATTTTATAGTAAGCTTTATTATAAGATTAAATAAAAGAAATAGAATATAAATAATAAATAGTACCTTATATTAAATTTTAAGAACTTAGTATTTAAATTATATAAATTTCACGAGTAGAACCCTAATAAAGCAGGACCTCTTATCTAGCTAAATAAATAGATTTAGTATACTAAAGAAGACAAGTTTAATAAAGATTACCCAGATAATAATAAACCTTAATAATAAGGCCTCTATAACTAGAAAAAAAAAAGAAAAAGCTAAATATTTCCCGGGTTTTATCTAAATTCTAGTATATTTCCTTTATTCTATTATATTAGTATCTATTTTCTTTTCCAGAAATCTGGGTAAAATACCTTTCTTTATTATACTAGATTATGCTTTACTATCTAGGCGAATTATAAAAAAAAAGTAAATTCTTAAAGCTAAATTAAAGATAAATACTCGCCTATATTAGTTCGAAATATTATTAAAAATTAAGGGAAATCTTCCTAATTACTTTAACTTTTATAATCTTAACTATTTATATTACTACTATTGCCTTAATAGAACTATTAATAAAAACGAAATAGATAAGAAATCCCGGTAATATATTATCTATAGCCAGACTAAGTAAGGCTACTTATTAGATCCTAGATAACTTAAGTAGTAATAGTAATATCTCAAGTTTAGTAGCTACTACTATTATTAATATAATTACTAGCTAAACTACTTTTATAGACGAAAATAGTAATTCTCTTATCTAAGAATAGGTTAATATATAGAATATGGCCCGTATTACTCTTGAAAATATACCTGAAATTACTATAGAGGATATCTTAGTAAAATATTCTAAGAATAATAAAATAAAGGTTTTAGTTACTAGTAATAATAAGTCTAATAATTAAATAGGCGAAATAGACGGTATTAATAAGGGCTACCTAATTAATCTTATAGAGCTAAATACTAAGAAAGCAAAAAAGAATAAGGCTAGCTTATTTAAGAAATATAAGATATCGAATAATAGTAAGAATTCTAATAATAAAAAGACTAAGAACGGAAAGACTTCTAGTAATAAAGGAGACTCTGACTATAATAAAAGTAGCTAAACTAGTATTAAGATACCTATTATAACTAGAAGATATATAGTACTAAGTAGTAATTATTATATAAAGTACTAGTCTAAAACCAAGAGCTAGTAAATAATCCTAAAGACCGAATTAAAGAAGTAATATACTATAGATATTAATGAATTAGTAGATAATACTATTTAGGAAGTCGGAAAACCTTTTAGAAGCTCTTATAAAACCAAAATTATATAGCTCAAGGCCCGGGGATTTGGTAATAAAGTAGCTCAAATAGCCGCCCTTAATATATAAGTCTTTATTATAGAGGAATAACTTGAGAATATATATATTAAGCTTGAGAAGACCTAGAAGTTAATTAAGTAGCTTAGAAATGGCATAATTAAGCTAAATACTACTACCCTAACCAAGAAGAAAGGCAAGTAAGCTATTATATTAAAGCCTATATTAATAGATGAACTTGATCTACTACTCCTATTTAAAGACTGCCCGATAATAATAGTCCTAATATTAGCTATGGCCTATATGGTATTCCTAGACTATATTATTAATATGGGTATAGGTATAATGCGAATAATAAATACTAAGGACTGGCCGGAATATGCTAGGAACTGGGTTATTCTGGCGGAGTTAAGACTATACTTCGATTATAAGTAAGCTATAGGGATTAGACAGAATGGGGTTAATGGCCGTTATTTCCTCTTTTTTCTTTTCTATACTACGGCTAAATAATTCCCTAAATAAGGGTATTTAGACTTCTCTTTAGGGGGGGGGGTAATATAATAGCTAGTATAAGGGTATAATCTACTAAGGATAGGATATCGGAAATAGGCATAAAACGAAGCTAAGCCGGAATTACTTGGACGGAATAATACTAAAGGTCGAGGTATTCTCTCTATTTTATTCTATAGCTTAGTATTTTCTAATATATGAGATTCTTTAAACTTTAAGCCTTTAACTATTATATTAATCCCGCTATTATAGAATACCTATATCTAAAGCTAATTTCTTCTTTATATAATTAGCCTTTATATCCGAGTTAACTAATATTCTAATTCTTTATTTACTTTTCCTTATCTTAATAGTAACCTTAATTACTATTCTCGTTTTAGGGGCTTTGCCTTCCGTAATATAAATAAGTATAATTATTATAAGATATATCTATTTCCCGGCTTCTTTGGTTTTAGGTATTTATATAACTTATAGCTAGACTTATTATAGTTATAATAAGTCGGTTTCCCTTAATTTAGGTAAATAGTAATATAGTAATCCTCTTTCTAGTAAATAAAGCAGATTATATCTAGTTTTATAGATTCTAATACGGATACTATATTAGATCCTATTACTATATCTTTACTATTCCGGTTTTATGAATCTTATAATAGAAATATATTTCTCTTCTATTTTCCTTTATTATTTCTCTTTTCTTTTCTCTTATTCTTTTTCTTTTACTATCCTATTAGCTTATTATTATATTTCCGTTAAGTAAATAGATTCAAATTATTCTTAATTCTTATAGCTATAGAGATAAGCTTCTTTCTTTCTTATAAAGTATTTTCTTAATAATTAATCTTATTTCAAATCTCTTATCTTAAGCTACTAAATAAGTTATTTTACTCTTATAATAAACCCGTATATCCTAAGTTATCTAATAGGCTATTTAAGTAAGATATAAAGCTTTAAATACTCTAGCCTAGCTATTATTTAGTATTCTTAAACTTAGTAAGAATATTATTATTATAGTTCTCTAGATCCAAAATAGAATTCTTTATAAACTTAATAAAGGTCTCCTAATTTATAATATTAATACTTACTAATTACTTCCTATATTTCCAGATATCTCTGGCTATATTCTCAAAATAGGAAGTATAATATATAACCTTTATTATATTAGTAGCCTAGGTAATTTTATTATTTTTATATTACTTTTACTTTATCTAATAAAAGAAGTCCTAGGCTTCTTTAATATTCTTTCCCTAGTAAGTAAATAGTTCTCGGGTTTTTAGAGCCTTTTAAACTAAAGATATTACCGGAAATATAATTAGTTCTATACCAGGTATTCAAATATCTTTAAAATAACGGATTTGAGTTTCTAGCTTCTCTAGATTCTCTTTCTATTATATCTCTACTTCTAACTTAGTAATATAATAGCGAGCCGCTACTAATTTCTTTATTATTATTATTATTCTACTAGCTAGTTCTAGGAATATCTGAGTTCTATTTCCTTCTTCTAATTAAGTAGTATAAAGAGTACTTAACTAGGTACTTCCCTAGATACCTGGCTAGATTATTCTAGTAATAGTAAAGATACTTCTTCTAGTTAATACTCTAGCTATTAATAGTTTTATTTATTAATGGCTTGATTATCTTATAATAAACTACTTCCCGAAAGTTAGATTAATTAGAATATAAGGCATATAATAGTAGGGTAATATATAAATAGTTAAGGTAAGTAAGCTATAAAGTAATACTTATAAGTATAACTAATTCTAAGAATTAATTTTAATAAAAAACTAATTAATGCCCCTTTCTAAAGCTAGAAGCATTTCTTTATATATTCTCTAGTACTTAGCCAAGCCTATAAAGCACTTTACTTAACTAGGAAATATAATCCCATATAATTCATATAATTCCGATTATAAGCTTTATCCAAAATAGGAAACTAGATCCATAATATCTAATACCTATTCATATATTATTACGTGTACTTATTATAACTACCTAGATTAACTACTAGTTTTTATACTAGTTCTAATTAGAAATTAGTATAATTAATTAATATATATTTCCAGAAGCTCGTAAATAATTTCTAGAACCTTAGAAATATTTATATAAGTTTCTTATATAAATATTTTATTAAATTCTTTTTATATAATTATTTAGATTATTCTAATATAAGATCTAATAAGTAGTATTAATTTTATAAAATAGTACCTTAGTACTTTGGATTAAGCTAATTAGAATACTCAAATCCTAAACAAAATTGCAATTATTAGCTAGCTTCTATATCTGAGATATAATTATTATTCTTTCTTACTTACTTAGCCCTAATCTAATTAGATAATTTTTACGTCTATTACCTAGATTATATTAGTGAAACCACCTCTTAAAATACTAGAAGTTTATCTTAATTAAATAATTAATTAATTAAATATTTATTAGAATAAATTAATAGATCTTGAAAACAAGATTCTAAGAGAGAAATATAGTTATAATATATATAGGGTTATATATAACTTAAGGGCATATAATAAATCTCGGATATTACAAGTATTAATTAGGGAAATTAATAGCCCTTTAATATTATAACTAATTACTATTTATATTATAAGTATTAGGCTTATAAATTACTAATTATATATGTATTATTAGGGCCTCTTATTTAAAAGAGGCTTCCCTGGACCTTATAGAAGAAATAGAAATTAGTTCTATATTAAATTTAATACTATAATTTCATAACTCACTAATTTATTCTATTATCTTATTACTTACTAATAAATACCTCATAGTATTAACTAGTACTATTATACTTTAAATTAAAGGCTATAATTTAATATTATATTATAATAAGTTCAAATTAAAGACTATAATATTATAAATATAAAGAGTTTTATTATATATATATATATTTAATAATATAAAGAATACTAGAATTAGGAATTTTTTTAATATCTTTAATTCTTTTCTAGTCTTAATATGAAATAGCTAAAAATATTTATTTCAGTAAAGGGAATTCTAATATATAAGGACTTATACGTTAGACGTAGTTTAGTTGAGATATAAGAGAATAAATTTAGTAAAAGAGGTGCAAAAGACGATTTTACCGACAAACACGCTGATTCTTCATGTTACTTCAGCACCAAGTCGCGTGAAATATCCGTCTCAGCACACCCTCATAAAATTTGGTGCACGACCCCATGTTCCGCCTTCGATCAATCAACACCACAGTCCCCTCTTACATTCTAAGGTTAGCCGATAGCCGTGGTGCTTCTCGATCCCATCGTGCCACGCACGTTCGCACGCCTGCCAACCTGCAATCCATTTTCGGCGGCAGAGGTCGCCAGCCTTTCGGGTCGCAGTCGTCCCCGCTGCCCGAATCGCTGCCGCTCGGTGCTCCCGTCGATGAAGAGAATGTCCCCGGTTACAGGCCGGAATATTTCTATCCTGCGAATCCTGGGGACATGCTGGCCGGTAGGTACGAGCTGGAGGCCAAGATCGGCTGGGGATCATCGTCCACGGTCTGGCTTGCGCGCGACACCCGCAGGTAATTTGAGATTCCAGCTCCCCAACTGGGTGTTGTTTCTCCCTTTTGTCGGCTTTCTTATGCCCGCACGTCCTCATTTCTACTTTCTACCCCATCGCTTCCGGCTCTATTTATATCTAGAGTGATTCTCCTTATAGCTCTCTAACACGCTTTTCCAGTGGAGGTTGGTTGAAACCGAACAAGTATGTCGCCATCAAAATCTGCACTTGCAACTCAGCGAAGGAAGAGGATATCAGACATGAGTTGGATATGACCATCCATCTTTCCTCTGCTAACTCCGAACACCGTGGACATGCCATCATTGCGACAGCAATCGAGAGCTTTGGCCTTGACTCACCTACGGGATCTACACATCTCTCTCTAGTTTAAGAACCGATGCGAGAACCGCTATGGTTATTTAGGAGGCGAGTCGCGGGTGAAGACAGGGTCATTCGTCCATTGATGCCTTTGATCAAGACCTACCTCCAAATTCTCCTGGAAGGCCTGGATTACTTGCATTCAGAATGCCACATCATCCACACAGGTACTTCGTCATCGGCACTCAAGTCCTTCCTTCTGTGAATCTCGTACTAAGTTGTTTCGTTTAGACTTGAAACTGGATAATATCCTTGTAACTTTCGAGGATCAGTCCACCATTGAAGCCTTTGTCCAGGGGCATGTCATGAATCCGATGGCCCGGAAACATGTTGGTGATCGGACAATGTACCGATGCCACAACGACTTTGGGCGCATCGACGGCGACGACGCTTTGAAGAAAATGTATCCAAAGATCACGGACTTTGGTCTTGCACAGCGGGGTGATCACCCTGGACCGCTTGTCCACCCGATACAACCCAACGATTGCCATGTCCCAGAAGTCCTCCTCGGTTGTGGATGGTCGTATAGCGCTGATATATGGAATTTTGGTATTATGGTGAGCACTCCTAGGGTTCTGATCTAGCTTTGCTTGTTCCATATCTCTTGCAGGTTTGGGATCTCTTCGGGGGGCAGGGCTTATTCCTGCAGGGCAACCCGCACTCTTACTCTGCAGTACAACACCTAGCAGAAATGATAGCATTGCTCGGCCCTGTAGCGCCCGTGCTTATCTAGCGCGAGAGAGATATGCGGCAGTGGCGATGGAGTCCTGAGGCACTGAACCCTGAAGGTAGATTGTGTAGCAATGCTGCCGAATTTTATGGCGGCCCATTTTTCACTGACAATGGTGCGTCGGTTTGAAATATTGCCTCCTCTCTTGACTGTTACTGATCAACATTTAGGCACATTTGTAGGCAAATATTTGATACCTTGCACACGGAGTTGAAGGAGCGAGATGCCCACGTGTATCCCGGAGGAGGATGCGGATCCATTCTTCAAGTTCATGAGAAGGATGCTTTGCTGGCTCCCAGAGGAGCGAGCGACGGCCAGGGAGCTGAAAAACGATCCGTGGTTTGACCGTATTATATAGATATCATGGGACATTCACGTTTTAGGCGTCTTCCAGCGTCTTAACTCCGGGTGCTACTCTCAAAAACTTGGTGTCCACGGCCCACGCATTAGCTACTGAAGAGGGGATCCGAGTGACTATATCTCGTCTGGAATTCGCAATTGATATTGGCGAGGATTTCGGTGCGATTTCAAGGGGAATATGTAAACCGACACCCCCCGGGTGTCTATTGGGGTGTCGATTGGGGCACTGACCCAAAGGAGAGGCGCTCGGACAAGAACACGAGGAATCTAGCTTTCTCTTTAAATTTAGTTCCTTATATAAAAGATTAATAGAATTTAATTTTTTTTGCTTATAACGCTAATTAAGCGTTATTTAAATATAAAGCTTTTATAAAATTTGAATTAGTAATAGCTTTTTAAATTAAAGAAGTTAAAAATTTTCATATTTTATAGCCTAAAGATAAGCTTAAGAAAGCGTAGAAATTTAGTAAATACGCTCCTAAAACCAAATATAAGAACCTTATAAGCCCCTAATTTATAGGGCCTTATAGGGTTCAAGAACTAGAACTTAATTAATTAGTATATAAACTTCCTTAAATTAAAATTCTATTTTAAGAAATCTTCTTATTATAAGTTAGGAAGCACGTGATTATAATACTAGGGTTATAATATGCTAGCTTATACTTGTATTAAAAAATATAACTTAAGATTTTTGAAGAGCGTAGGTAGCCAATTACAAGTTTATCGACACTCCGGGGGGGGGGGGGTCGTTTTACATTTTCCCTGTTGGAAGCATGCATTCTGTGTTTAATATGGACACGACGTTTGCAATGGCAGCCAGTCTTCGCACATGGCACTACTCTGGTGAAATGGTATGTGGAATATCTCTTGACGTGCCACTCTCTAGTGACGACGATCCGTCTCGAGATTCTCTCCTTCCTGCGGCTGTACCGTCCCCACCTCAACCCCTGCGATCAGCGGCACTCTACTTGAATGAAAGATATGAAATCTGATGAATGCCAGGTCCTTTTTCCGATTCCGTGCTCTCGCATCATAAGACTCTCTATTGGCCTATCTAGAACCTGCTCACCACGGGTTAGAGAATCATCGGATGATCACGGCGTGCAAGGCAACCCTTACAGTCTACTTAGTTTGAGGAAACGCCATGCCGACCAGAATGGCAGGCTCCTCCACATTGTGATGCGCATAGCTCATGATGCCGATGGCGCCTGGCTCCATCATCATCGTGAAGGGGAAACTCATTGGGTAGAGAAGCCATCTCTTCGTGAATGCGCGCAGGATATGGCCGTGCGCAACCTAATCGGAACAGCTTTAGAGACGTGACATTAAGGGGAAGGGGAGAGAGATGAATTCTTACGATCAGGACATCGGCGGGCTGGCCGCTCTTGCCGTCCATGTGTGGGGTCTGCAGCTTGTAGATCTCCCCAATGAGTCGGTCGAGACGCTCTTGCACTGCTTCGGCGGACCTAGTTTAATCAGAGCATGTTAGCAAAGCAATCTCTGCTCGAACATAGAAATCCTGCAAGCTTGCTTCGTCGCTTGCGGGGGGGAAGGAGGGGTAGGATCGACTCACTCTCCCCCCTCGCAGCCCATCGTCCAGATATCCCACTTCGGCAGTCCTCGATTAGCTCTACTCTCCTTGATCTCATGCGGCTTCAAGCCCTCGTAGACTCCATAATCCCATTCCGTGATATCCTCCGTGACGGTGACCCGGTCCTCCCTCTCCAGGCGCTCTTTGTGTGTTGGTCCGAGCAGCATGTCCAAGGTGACAACCGCGCGCTGCCGCGGCGAGGTGAAGACGTGTGCCAGTTTAGCGGGATCAATGAGCTTCCCTGGCCCGACGAGAACCTCACCCGTGCCTCTGACTTGCGAGATGCCGTTCTCAGTGAGAGGGATCTCGGCGTTGCCGGTGCAGCGGCCGTTGATGGTCCATTCGGTCTCGCCTGGTGTACGCCGCAGAGATTAGAAAAGAGATGATGGCTGGGAGGGCAATGGAGGAACATCATTCATGAAGCAAAGGGGGTGCGGAATGGGGATGGGATTTACCGTGTCGAGCGATGAAGACTCGGGGTGTGGTTGCGTTTGCGTCGGACATTGTTGTGAGATCGATCTGAGGCTCTGGGACGGGACTGGGCAGATGGGAGCGTTACAGCTGTGTCGTGGGAATTGATTTGTGGATGAACGGCAGGCACATCAAGGGTTGATGTATTTTGGTCAGAGATCAGAGATGCAAATAACATCGATCTTGCGTGTGCGTATGGGATGGGCCGGTTGTGTTGGGAAAATGTAAAACGAGAACCCCCCACCTCCCCGGGTGTTGATTAGGGGTGTTGATTGGGATCTAGGGCGTTAACGACTTGTAATTGGCTACTTAAGCTCTTTAAAGACCTTAAGTTAGATTTTTTTAATATAAGTATAAGCTAGTATATTATAAGGCTTATAATATAACTATGTGCTTTTTAACTTATAAGAAAAAGACTTCTTAAAATAAAATTTTAATTTAAAGAAATTTATATACTAATTAATTAAGTTCAAGTTTTTAAGCCTTATATTTTTAAAGCCTTAGAAATTAGAGGCTTATATCGCTCTCATATCTAGTTTCAGGGACTTGTTTGCTAAATTTCTAGGCTTTCTTAAGCTTACCTTTAAATTATAAAATTTTAACTTTTTAACTTTATTAATTTAAAGAACTATTACTAATTTATATTTTATAAAAAGTTTATATTTAAATAGCCCTTGATTAGGCTATAAGAAAATAAAGAAAGTATTAAATTCTATTAATTCCTTATAAAGTAAACTAAATTTGAAGAGAAAGCTAGATTTTTGGTGTTCCCGTCCGAGCGCCTCTACGAAAGCGCACAGTTTTGAAAATCGTTCATTTTTAGTGGGGTGAGGAAACCAAAATCTCACACCTTTAAAAATTGCGCATCGTAATGCGACCACGTCCAAATACTTTAAACTAAGCTTTAGGCGAAAGGGAAGAAGCTCAAGTATCTTTTCTTTGTGTTTTAGTGATTCTAAAATCCTAGGATATTTTATTACGATTTTTCAAAGACGAGGGACGATTTTCAAGGACCTCGCTTAGCTAGATGGACGATTTTCAAAAACTGTGCGCCTTCGTACTTTGGGTTAGTGGCTAGTCTAGCCCCAATCGACACCCAGGGTGTCGTTTTACATTTTCCCGTTGTGTTGGGCCGATTGCGTTCGTTGGGCTGTGAGCTTGTCCTGTAAGGTTATGTATGCATGCAGCGGCTGCCTTGCCAGCTCCGTCCCCCCGAGGTGGCCTGATGAATGACTCTCCTCGTCGTCCACCCCCACCATCTCGAATCCCGGTCCCGTTCCTTTTGCCATGCAGGAGGGTGAATTAGGTAGGTCACCGGCACATCTGGGCGACGCGCAAGACATGGATGGATGGAATGAGAATCCCAGGGATCGGCTAACCTGGCTTGGAAAAGTAGGTTGGGTGGAAAGGTTGGTAGGATTGTAGTCTGTCAGAGAGTGCCTATATACATATTGATGCCTAAGGCCATTACGAGCTTCGTTCGAGGCGAGTCTAATCTATGCCAAGCCTTCCATGCCATTACGAGACAGGTCATGTGCTAGCTAGCTCAAAGTGGAAGTGGAGAACAGCTTTATATTCTATGTACGAAAACTTTGCACGTAATTTCACGTACATTGACTTCATCTGACGAACGATGTACTGCTGTAAAACGATGCCAGCCGAACCTGTCCATTGCGTTGGGAGTAGCGCCATCCCCGATATGGAAATGACACGAATAAGAAATCTTTTTTTTTTCCTCGTTCAAGTTTTGGCTTGTGTTGAAATAAGCTCATGGGCAGCACCCTAACAGGTACGTGCGTGGGGTTGCAACATATCAAGTCTCTTGGGAGACGCAGTTCGAAGTCATGATCAGTAACCCTTTGGGGTTGCCCTGTTTCTCAGCTTCTGTGGGCTGCGAGTTGTCATCGCTGAAAGATCAGTCGGTACTACTCTCATATCGGTCTCTCTTTCAATTCCAGGCCTATAGTTGTGGGTGGCATGACGCGGTGGACGGGCTGTTCTCCTTTCTCCCTTGCCCATTCTTCATAGCCTCCTGGAAACTTCGCAATTAAAGTCTTCATTGTCTCTTTGGCCCTGGTGCATGGTTATTTACCTCCCACGCAAATCAAGAATGAGTGTCTCTGCTTACATGTTTCGGTACCTCAGATTACCAGAGAACAAGGCCGAGCTTTTGAGGTCCCACCGACTTGCCCATTGTCATTGGATGCGTCTAATAACAGGATCGAGGATCTTACAGGTAGTAAAGCATATTGCGATCATCTTGGTCTTCCTCAGGGGCAGAGACCGGGAAGTAGTGGAAGTACGCTTTCATGTATTGTCTCCCAATCAGATGGCGTATCGGTCGCCACGCAGCCATCTCCACTGTGTCTGATCAGCATCTACGAGTCGGTATCATCTCATATCGGGAATGTTGGACTTACATTCATTGTGAGCATACAGAGCAGCTGCATCGTAGATGACTGGCATGTTAGTGTCAATATTCCAGGATGTATTGCCGGCCCAAATGTCGCCGTGAATGAGGCGAGGCTGTATCCGGCGGCCGCCGGTCTCGAGTGGTCGAAGCAATCGTGGGATGACCTTGTCAAGAATGCCCTGACACAGCTCTTGCATTTCCTCATCAACGCCTTGGGATTTCTCTTCAGCTTGCATGAACCACTTCATGGAATGGTAATATGATTCTTCCCAGGTGTCATGCCAGGCAGTGTACTGAGGGATAGTACCCTTGTAAGTGGGCACATGGAATCCGTACCTGTTATCTGGGTTAAGTCCTTTCGTGTGTAGCTCTGCTAGTGTCGAGGTAAAAGCTTGGATTTCAGGAATTTCATCCGTCATGTTGATGAGCTCGCAGCAAAAGAAGTGGATGTCTGGAGCAGATGCATACGTGCCAGTCCCAATGGGCTCGGGTACAAACTTGGGTAAAGTTTTATGCAGAGCTGTCATGGAGGCGAACTCTCCGGTAACCATGCCTTTCCCATTGTTGCCTTGAGATACCTAGCATCGCTGTCAATGGTATTCTATGTCCACTTGGCAGAGACCACTTTACTTTAAGAAAATAGGAGCGCGGGGTACCATCAGCCATGTGAGTCGAGATCTCAGCAGTCCTCGTCCAATAGCTAGCTCCATGAGGACGGATGTCCTCAACGACCGTGTCTCGCGGGAGTTCTGATTGCGTTCAGGACGACCACTCGTTAGGCTTGCTCAGTTGGACTTACTCGCTTTGACATTCTCGTCCACGAAATGAATCCACTTTTCATCGACGTCAATTGGCTTACCCCATTCTGCGGGCGTCATCACGTGCAAAACCTCCATGGGATTCGCCATGCCTGGAGAAGCAGCAGTAAGTCGATCTCAAATCGCTGAAAGATGCGGTGGCGCCAGTCTAGAGAATGAGAGTAAAGATTCAGGCAGAGAGCAGTGTGAACGGAATCGGGGTGAAATGGAGAGCTTAGCGCTTCCGGCTACTATGGGAATATGTAAAACGATAACCCCCCGGGTGTCGATTGGAGGTGTCGATTACTAGGATTAGGGGTGTCGATTGGGGTCTAGATTAGCCACTAACCCAAAGTAGGGGCGCTCGGATAGAAATACTGAAACTCTAGCCTTTTCTTTAATTTAATTTAATTTTATATAGAATTAATAGAATTTAATAGTTATTTTATTTCCTTATAGCGCTAATTAAGGGCTATTTAAATATAAACTCTTTATAAAATTTGAATTAGTAATAGCTCTTTAAATTAAAGAAATTAAAAATTTCATAATTTATAGCCTAAAAGTAAGCTTAAGAAAGCCTGAAAATTTAGTGAATAAGTCCCTAAAACCAGATATAAGAGCCTTATAAGCCTATAATTTATAGGGCCTTATAGGATTCAAAAACTAGAACTTAATTAATTAATCTATATACTTTCTTAAATCAAAATACTATTTTAAAGAATCTTTTTATTATAGATTAGAAAGCACGCGATTATAATACAAGAGTTATAATATAGTAACTTATACTTATATTAAAAATCTAACTGAAGATTTTTATAGAGCTTGGATAGCTAATTACAAGTTATTAATACCCCTACCCCGATCGATACCCCCAATTAATACCTGGAGGGGGGGGGGGGGGGGTGTCGTTTTACATATTCCCGCTACTATGAGCGGGATTAAGAGAAGCGAAGGGCCGCCTTTATTTTGGTAGGCTGGGGAAGCACCTCTGGCCCAGGACTATTCAGGTTAGTAGTATTGGAGGCACAGTTCGGTATTGGGCCGAATGGTATATTAACTCCTATACTGGATTACTTCAAGGGACCGAGTATATCTTTTAGAGCCTATAGGGCTTCACTGATTAATAAGCGAATTTGGACGATATACTTTCTATCTACTACTAAAAAATTGTTCTATTTTATTATAATTAATATAAAAATTCAAGATTTTTAATATTTGAGGTCTATTTAAAATATAATTATTTATATATTAATTCGACTAATTTTAATACTAATTTTAATAATATTATAATTAGTAAAGTAATCTAATATACTACTTCTACTAGCCTCAATAAAAATAATTTCTTTAAAAATAAAAAGCTATTAAAACAAGAAAGATATAAGAGATTAATAAACCTTTAATAGCTTAATATATAAGTAATTAAGATAAATATATTATAAAGTAATATTTATAAGTATAATTAATTTTCAAGAATTAATTAATATCTCTTTTTAAAGCTATAAGTATTTCCCTATATATTTTTTAATATTTAGCCAAATATATAAAGTTCTTTATTTAATTAAGAAATATAATTTTATATAATTAATATAATTTTAATATAAGTATTATTTAAAATAAGAAATCAGATTTATAATATTTAATATTTATTTATTTATTATTATATATATTTATTATATTAATTTCTTTTTTAGGCTCTTATTTTTAAGAAGCTTTAGAAAACTATAAATAGCTTTATATATATTTGTTGAAACTTTTCTAATTATTTACTTTCTTTTAATAACCTTTTATATATATTTTATTATTATATTAAATAATAAATCTAGAAATATAATTTATTAAATTTATTTATTTAATTTATAAATTACAAAAATAATATAAATATAATATATATTATTAGTTATAAAGTTTATTCGATTTTCTAATTAATTTATAAATTAATTATTATTTTATTTATTAAAAAGCTTAAAGAAATTAAATTAATTTTCTAATTTATTTATAAATTTATTCTTTTTACTTTTTCGGGCTTTTCTAATATAAAGCTAAGTTCGAATTTATAATTATTATTTAAAGAAAAAATATTATAAAAAGGCCTTTTCTTTCTTATTAATTAAATTTCTTTCCCTTAATTATAATATTATATTTAGCTTTTTTTAAGCCTTATTTTTCTTTTTTAAGCCTTATTTTTCTTTTTAGCCTTATTTTTCTTTTTTAAATATTATTTAAAAAAATTTAAAGCTTTTTTTAAGCTTTTTTAAGTTTTCTTTATATCTTTTTTAATATTTTCTTTTATTTCTTTATTTATTAAAATAAATATATTTATTAGTTCTTATAAGATTATTATTTCTTATTTAGTTAATATTTTTATAATATTAATTTGCTTTTATTATTTTTAATATTTCAAGAATATTATTAATTATTTTATATAATAATTATTATTTTAAAAATAGAAAATATAATTTTATAAATTATAATTTCTTTTTTTATTTCTTATTTTAATATTATTTAAGGTTTTTTAAATATATATAATATATTTAAATTTCTTTTTTTAAGCTATATTTATAATTAAGTATTTTTTTAATAATTTATTTAATTAGAAAAAGCTATTTTCTTTTTATATATATATTAAGCTTTATATATTTCTTATATTAATATTATTATTTAAAATATATAAATTTCTTTAATAATTTAAAATATAAATTAAGTAATTCTTACTAGCTTATTATAAATATAAAGTACTTTTAAAAATATAATAAATATTTTTAGTATTAAATAAACTTATTTCTTTTTTATTTATTACTAATTACTAATAGTTTTCTAAACTAATTTATTATTATTTCTCGAAATAGTTCTAATAATACTAATAAAAATAAGAATAATAAAAATAAGAATAAAAAAAGACTAATATAAAAATAAAATATTTATAAAATATAGAGATTAGAATTTTTAATACTTTTTATATAGTTTTTTTAAGAATAAATATATAGCTTTTTTAATAGTTTTCTAATAAAAAAATAATTTTTTTATATTTTTATTTTATTAATAATATTATAATATTACTATTAGTTTACTAGTAATATATAATACTATTATATAGGTATAGAAATACTAGTTATATTAAGTTAGTAAAGATATTATTATTTAGAAATAGAAATTATAGATTATAATATTAATATATAATTCCTAAATTTACTAAACCTAATAGAATCTAGTTTACTAGTCGAGTTACTTATAAAATATAAGGTTATATAACTATATCCCGTATCCCATATCTTATTACCTATATCTCGTATCTCGTATCTCGTAACTATATATATAACTCCTAAAAAAACAGCTATACTAATACTAGAACTTTTCTAAAAAAATATAAAAAATAATATTCTTTTCTAATTATATACAAATTCCCTAATCTGGCCTAGTATTAGATTTCCTAAATATTTTATATATCTATATTACTCTTGAGGTTTTAGTTATATATTAAAGGCTATAGCCTTTTATATATAACTTCTTTTCCTATAATATTCTTCTATTTTATATATCTATTTCCCGCCCTATTTATATTTAATTTATTTCTTTATATTTAATTATATTATATTTATATTAATTAGATAATTAAGAATATTTATTAGCTTTAATTTTATTATAGAATTAGCAGAATTCAATTCTTCTTTAATCTATTTGATTTTTGTAATCTCTTATTATTTATATATCTAATAAAGATATATTATATTAATTATTAGGTATTTCTCTCGAATAGTACCTAATTTAATAAATCCTTTATATAATAACTTTAAATTCATATAAATAACTAGTAATAGTTCTATTTCTAGTATTTTATTAATTATAAATTTAATTAAAGTACTTATATTAAAGCTATAAGCTATACTATAGAATTTTAAAGCTAGAATACTTCTAGTAACTCTCTTATATTTAGTAGAGAACTAATAAATAATATTAGTATATCTAGTTTTATTTATTAGAACTAGAATATATCCGATTTAGGAAAAGAGATCTCTATTATTTATAAACGAAATATTTATAAAAATAATTAAATATAAGAATTTCTTTACCAGTTTTATAAATCTCAGTTCTTTAATAGTATTTTTAATTTACTATTAAATATATTTATTAAATGCCTTTATATTAGTTTCCGAGAGTTTAATAGCTTAAATAGTAATTAATAAATTATATAAAGCTTCTGGTTAATAAACTAATATAATATATATTTCTCTAGTATATTAGATAATATATTAGTCCTTAATAAAGAGATTTTAATAAATAGTACCTCTATTACTTATAATAGTAATATTCTTTATAGAAATAATTTAGAGGTTTTTATACTAGTATTTTTATATAAAAGTAATTCTAGTAGTATTTATATAGATAATACCTCTATTAAATTTGAGATTATAATTAAAAGTAAGGCATTTATATTATTTAGCTAAAAACTTAATTTTTTAAAGTTTTAATTATTTTATTTTTATAAAATTATTAGTTCTAATAAATAAGGTATTATTAGTTTAAAAACTAATAATTTTAAAGAGTTATTTATTATAAAGGAAGCAAGAGTTATAAGTTAACTATTTTACAGAAAGCTTATTAATATAATAAGAATAGTAAGTCTTAAACTAGTAATTCCCAGCTTCTAGTATATTATATAATAGTTTTATAACTTTTAAAATAGAATTATTCTTTAGATTTAGCTTTTTAATAAATTTGCAAAATGAATTAATATAAAAATTATAATTAAATAAGATTATTAATTAGATATAAGCTTATAAGATATTATATAAATATAATTTTATAATATTTATTATTATAATAATAATATTAAGAATAATTTTCTGGCTAATATATTAATATTATATATTTCTTATTATTATTATAAGCTTAAATAACTAGTCTCGATTTCTTAAACTTTCTTTTTATATTCTTATTCTTAATCTTATTAATAAACCGGGAATTAAAAATATATATTTTCTTTAGTATTTAAGATCTAAGAATAACCTCAAATATATTCTTTTCTAAAAGGCTAGTAATTTTAATTTAATAGGAGTCCTTATACAAATTATTATTCTATAGGAATACTATAATATCTGGAGTCTTATAAGGGTATTCTCTATTATATTTTAGTAGAATAACAGAAATAGTAAAAGGAATTATACTTGTATTACTTTTGGTTTTATTATAGAATTCGGAAACAGATTCAGGTTCGAGAC